CGCCCGGAATAGGGTTAAGCCACTAATAGGCAACCATGGTGAATCAACTCCCGTTCTCAACTTTGCAAACGGACCTTCGGCATGGCTCTTGCTGGAGAGCTTCAGCAGCTCATCTGCAAGCAGTTAGGATTGAGCAAAGCGCAACTATATCAGCTAACGAAGCCAGAGAGAGCAAGAGATAAACTGACAACAGGTTGTCATTGAAAAGCTTGGGCTCGGCCAAAAAGGGCCATGCACTAGTTGTCAAACAGGTGGTTGCCTGTCATAGACAACAAACGTCACCGATCTAGCTAAAAACCAGCTAAACAATAGGTCAGGATTATCTACAAAACATCAGTCTACTTTGCACCACTATCTTCGACAAAATTTTGGAATTTGGGGTCCTTCGCCAGAAAAAAATATGCGAAAACTACGGGAAAAGCAGCGCAAATCACTACAATTCATCCCAAAAAACATAACATATACAACAAAACAGTATATTGAAGCACACTTTGTGGTCTAACGAAGGTATTGTGTCATTTGAACCGCCCGAAAAAGGCGTGTGTGAACGTCAGATGGCTACAACGCCCCAACAGCAGAGACGGCCAGGCACCCGTCGAAAATCAAATTATGAGACATTTTGAGCCACCGTGCCCTCATTGGGTTTGATATGATGGCCCAAAGACAACCGTTAGCACAGAGTACTACTGCGGTAATATTCTACCAGTATACAAAAACTGGATGCCGTGAACCAAATGGCCATGAACGGGTTTGTTTTGGAAACCAAATCTGTTGGAAGCCAAAGGTCGCGCCATGCTCAGACATGGAGCTTCTCCACTCCAGATGTAAAAAACGCAGCAAAAATGGTGTAGGCAGAAATTTTTGTTTTGGGGGATAATACCTTATGGCCTGGGAACACTTTGATGTCAAGTTTATCTTATATGATCGTATTATCTTCCGGCAAGAGGTCAAAGAAAACAGGCCTACACCCAGTTTCGGGAGACCCGTAAAACAACTGAGACCAGCAATGCAGGGATGCGGAGCCGTGGAAATTTCAGACGGCTCCGGCTCCGGCTCCGGCTCCGGAGAAAAAAATCGGCTCCGGCTCCGGCTCCGGCTCCGGGTGAAATGTCATTGCGGCTCCGGCTCCGGCTCCGGCTCCGAGTAAAATGATCCGGCTCCGGCGGCTCCGGCTCCGGCGGCTCCGGCTCCGGCTTCTACTCAGTATATCTCCTATGCGATCAATTAAATATGGGTGGAAGAAAAAAGGCGATGGGATTGGTACACGTTGCTTCTGTATTTGTATAACAAGGCTATTTTGAATACCACATTGTTTTACGCCTTGTACTGTCAAACCGAACTAGGTAAATAATTGTTTCCTCGTAAGAAAAGGAGCCGGAGTCGCCCCCTTTTTTTACGGCTCCGGCTCCGGCTCCGGCTCCGGGCTATATTGTTTCACGGCTCCGGCTCCGGCTCCGGCTCCGGGCAAAATATGCCGGCTCCGGCGGCTCCGGCTCCGGCTCCGGCTCCGGCTCCGCATCCCTGCAGCAATGGCTGGCATTTTCCATCATTGTCGGCTGATCTTGTAACAAGCGTATCTATTGCATGTGCCATTTCACAGCCACCCTAGTTGACTATATAGAACGGTAAAAAGAAAAAAGCGCAATCATATATGCCTTATTTTATACGCTAATTAACAATGTTCGGGTAATTCTGGGACACCCTGTAGACCAGTGGTGGACCTCGTGTGGGATGCTTCACAGAACGGCAAGAGCAAAATAAACGGTGTGCTATCAGTGCCTGAAATACAACAATATGGCTATCAGCCGGCAGCTGCGTAATGCATGGACGGTAGTAGCAAGAAGTGAAAAGCACTTAGAGCTTATATGACACTTGCCTGGTAAAAGACTCATGTTCACAGCGTTAGAGCATCTCCTGTAACTGTTATTTCTTTGTGTATGATGATTATTTATTTCAATCCTCCATTATCATTTTTCGAATCACCTGAAACCTATTTACCCTGCTATTACCTACCTGCCGTATAATTATTACCAGATTGCAAGGATCCGTGGAAACCTTTTCAGCAGAGTTTCTCAGGATATATTCTATCTGCAAAAGTGCACCATATCTGGCGGTTTTCCTCTACACCCAGTCGCCAATCGGTCTGGGCCTTTCCACCCACGTCTCATCATGTCCACGCGTCCTGCCGGACAGTGGTGGGCTGTCCCGGAAGCCGTGTGGTCCGATAGGGTCCATCCGCTGACCGCAGCTCCGGCCCTGACCACCGAGACGAGAGCACGGGGGCGCGCAGATACCCTGCCGAGGACCGCAGGGGATATGTGTTACAGCTTTTAAATTCACTGATTATTATAATTCGTTTTTTTTTCAAAAGAACTCTGGCTCCAAGTACGTTTTTCGAAAAAGCATGCGTTTTAGCGACCAAAACGAGCAAAAACTGAACCTGAGAAACTCGAACGTCGCCTTATTTTAACCCTCGCCCGCACATGGGGGGGGGGGGTGGTTGCCACCCCCCCAGGTAGTCTTTCTGCTCTGCACTCAACATTTTTAGAGCTAGAAGGCTGATTTTTCGTATAGCTGCTCCTCTATCCTATCTTGATGTCCACTGAAAATTTCAAGTTTCTGTGATTTTTGGTTTCGGAGATATGACCTTGTTTTTCAGGTCATGTCATGACCCAAATGGCCAATTCTCAACATCTTGCGCTGGCTATGGGCCTTGTGAGCTTTTGACACCTTGATTTCGGCCTTTTTTGCCAGTCTTACCTCCCAACTATCATGGAACATGTTGTTCGACGATGTACAGATGTCAAGGTCAAGGTCAAGGTCAACCTAGGTCATCTAAGATAATTGCGTTTTAGGTAAGCGGAAATTACTTTTTGTCAAGTTTTTTGACTAAATTTTTGGTAAAAGCTTCTCAGATCATGATTTCATGTAATATGGACCCAAAAACAATCGGTGCACACATAAGTATACACACAGACACACACAGACATACAAACACATATTATTGACCTTGACCTAACTTGACCTGACATGACTTCAGCAGCAAAAATCTGGTCGGGTAGTGTGACAAAGAGGTTCTAGCTGGCTTGGCACCAGAAAACAGCATCTTCATCGGTATATGGTAAGCAGCGCACTTGATATCCAACGTTGACCCAAAATAGCAACATTTTTTAGTTTGACCTGACCTGGAAGGTCAATGACTGACCTGAGAAGGTAAAACTGGGTATCATTGGATTCGTCTCTTCCCAAAGAATCTTTTTGGTCTTTACCGCTAAGCTCTATCTCCAACAGGAACGAAATGGCGCGGGGGGGGGGGTGGCAACCACCCCCCCCCCCCCATGTGCGTTCTAGGATGGGAAAATGGCATGTGCGGGCGAGGGTTAACATGTGAAATATTCCCAATAATTTTCATACGTGCATTTTGGAACCAGATATGGGAACAGTGGTGATGTCATGCTGTCAAACTTGTATTGCAATGTAACGTATAACTATCATGGACGAAACCGCTTACTCGATTATAACCTCGGCAACAGTGAAAAACGAAGTTTCCCCCAAAACCGTCGAAACTTTGTCCCATCGTACGGACATTGGGTGCCTGCTGCCACCAGTGACGTCATCATAGTATGCTAATTTTTCAAGACACAATTTCCGGGTACTTACCGTGCACAATTTGAAATCGAATATTTTTTCGGTAAGAAATTCTTCTAGACGATTCTTGGCTAGACGCTGAAGCTGCCAAAACTCACGTGAGAGGTTCGATGAGGAACTTGGAGCCAGCGTCCTTTTGAAAAAAAAAAAAAAACGAACTATATACCTCTCCTGAGAAGTAGAGCTTGTCAATTCGATTTTAGTAAGGATCGGTAATTGCCGGCATGACTTTTCAGGTCAAATATTGACAGGATAGGTCCGCCAATCATTCTCTTTAATTTATACTCGTACTGCGTACACTGAAGACATCTTACCCTTCACATACATGGTTGGTTATGATAAATTAAAGGAAACAACACGAGACATAAGTTAGAAGGGGTAACCGAAGCTTAAAATAGCAATGGATTGAGCGAATTATTAACGGGTATTATCCGTGAAATTGCAAAGAAAGGGTTGACCAAGCTTGTGAAATTCCTTTCTCAGGAGCTGCCAGGAGCGCTGTAAGTTCCCCTCACCCCCCCCCCCCAGTCCCCACACACACACTCCTCACTACTCCAGAGTGCAGACCCTCCCATACGTAGGCCTTTTGACCTAGTTGGCGCACGAGTCCCATTTACGAAGCCTTGTTTCTTCCTTGTCCCTCGGACGGCAAACAACCATTCTTTACAGTAAACAGTTGCCTCTGCTGAAGGCCAGGGCTCGGTTTCGTCCGGCGGTGCCTTTGTATACAGGCGCACGTGTGTTAACGGCTTGCTGCAGGCCGAGGATGGTTTGTGTACTTTGGTTTGTGTGTCCATGACGAGCGCGGCAAAGTGGCGGCCACTGAGTGAGTTATGCTGTGCCGCAATGACTGGCGACAGTGCGGCACAGCCTACCCAGCAGTTTTCTGTGGCCGTGCGCTGCATCAGAAGCGCACCGCCAAAACGAGCAATTGCTATCTTTGAAACTCATAAATCCCATTTGGCCTTCATAGCTGAATATCCCGGTGGTCGACTGGCCCGAGTGGAGTCTTATGATCCCGGGTATTCGAAACACTGCACTGGGGCGCTTGGTGCTTACAGTGTAAGATTTGACCGAGCAGGGGCTTCCCATTATTGGAACATGGTTATACCCGAAAAGAAAATTAATTGACAGCTCTTTTCGGAAAGCCTAAGTCAAATGTCTTTTGCATCACAGTTGTGGAAGTATCCCGTATGGTGTCGAATGCAACCTCTGCCCGCGGCTCTGTGGGATTTTTGGACGAGTGTGCTCACATATTCAATAATCCCGTAATGTGTGCTCTTTCACAGTGAAAAGGCGCTCTAAGTGCTCTCCAAACTGAATGAGTGCCCTTGCTTATTCTGTATTTTCAGACTGCTGCTTTTCACCTGCGTGTAAATCCAAGCTTTGGCCGGAGAGTGGGATTGTCCCCGTAACCATTTCAAGCTAACTGCGGCCCGGGCTGAACTATGGACGTGGACAGCCAATCTGTGACGGAGATGTCGGCCAACGTAACCATGGCAACGGTCAGCAACGTCACAACTAAGGCACCCCTGCCCGACTTGAACGAAATGAACAGGTCAGTGCGAATTATTTACTTGTGCTTCAGGTAAAGACTAGCAGTAAAACAGGTAGGAAACTAGTGTGATGATTCCCTGAATGAGCAAAGAAGGTAAACCTACTTTTTTTGCCGCATTCAGTTTCACTCTTAAACTATGCACTAGCCACTACTACATATTGCACGTTAAAGGTAGGTAAGCTTTATGCTGTCGTAAGGGTTACGGAGCGAGCGAAGTCTTTCGTATGTATTTTACGTCCAGTTAGGTGATTACAAGATATGTATATTCATTCGAAATATTTCTGACCAGCACGAATCAACACAAACATCACTGTTACGAACCAAGCAGCTCAGCTCAGGCCCTGAAACGAAGATGTCACATTCAATGCCGCACATTCAAATGCGCCATATGCATAGGCTATCAGTATATAATAAATATATTATTTTTTTGAAGGAAACAATATTATTTCAACTGGGAAACGTCTTCCGAAAGTGCAGCCAATTCCGAGAATCGCATGCATTGTAACTCTGTTACTGTGTTATTAAGTCTGAGTCAATAACTAAAAAGATGCTACCTTATACCTACCATTGGGACTAACATCACATGAAACAGGCGGGGTGTTCGTCCCACGTCGGTAAGGTATACGAGTATACCTACTGATGTTCGCAGCAGCGGGGTTCTGGTTGATAAGAACTGGTGCAGGGTGTTCTGTTCAATAGCCTCTGGCGGCAGGACCAAATATCCGATAACAGTGCACTATTGGTATACGGTTTCATACGTCATCTCTTGGTGATATGTTTCAGCTTTGATTTCAAAACATGAAAAGTAGCGATTATATGACATTCTTCGAATTCAGTACGTGTTGTTGTTCCTATACTGTTTATCCTATCATTCAGAGCGTCAAACATCTGAAAACAGTTACCAAGGCTCGATAAACAGCAAAGGAAAATGTGTGGTACGTAACTACCTCTGCTTCAGAGTCCTCACTCTCTCACTTCTCTGATCTCTCCCTCTCTCTCCCTTCCTCTCTCCTCTCTCTTCATTTGTATCGCATAACACCCTTCCTCAATTGCTTTGGATGCCTTTGAAGTGGCGACATTCCATTCACAATATATAATCAACTGATGCGATGTGGGCTCCCATACCGAAGGGCACATGCTATAATGAAGTGCTGCCAGCCGTAGGTAAAGCTATAACGTGAACGCACTGCGCAAAGAAGCTGTCTCATTATTTCTCGGAAAGTCGTTTAAAATGTAAAGGGAAGAACTGCATGCCTACCTCAAGCACCTTTGCAATGGAGAGATCTTCATGCTGAATAACCGCATACGATTACTGAAATGGTCTAGGAACGCTAGGAACTGCACTTGCTCTGTAGAAGTTCTTCACCGTCTTTAGAGCTTAGCAACAGTCCAATTCACCGCTGAATTAACCAACAATTACTGCACGAAGTGTTCAGATGCTACGAAAGACAATGCACCTGTTCTTGTTCTTAATTAAAGCTAAATGTTGAACAATGGAACGAAGATTCAATGAAGCGTAGATCCGCATTGTGCTGATCTTTAACGCATTGACCCATCATTACCGCAGTAGCGGCCAAGACCAGCTGATACAGCTCGCAGTGAGCATGGATAGACTATTTATTCAGATACGAACGCTTTTCTACGCAGCTCTTGCCTCTAGCCTTGAGCGTCGTATTTCGGATCGTATTTCAATCACTCTTTGAATTTCAGCAGCCAACGTGAAATGGTCTGTCTCAGCTATTGAGCCGAAACTGTGACCCGAAATGGCCTTGTGTCAGGTCACTACTGGGCAGCTGGGTGCACTGACCTGATGCGGCTTATTGCTACATTTAGTCAGTCGCTTCTCTTCATCCTTCTTCATTAGCCTTTCCACTAACGAGGGAAACCCTCCCATCCACGAAACATTGTTCAGTTTCGCTGGAACTCGCCCTAAAATACTACCGTACCTCTGCTGTTGAATACATTTACCGCCTGTTAGAAGTGCCGTTCTACCCAGCTACATGTATGTAACATGATACCATAAAATAAAGCAGTAGTTGTAAACGCACCTACGAAGAGCTTTGTGTGTGACGCAGGCAAGTCTTGACATAATATGAATTTACAACGCATGATGCATGTCATACTGAAATCCTTATCACCTTGGATGTTTGTCGTCTTTATTTTGTTGATTTAGGTGCCGGATGAATTTGACCCAATTCCAGAAATTCACATGACAATTAGACTAAGGAGGTCTCATTTGCTCACTACACTGCAGAGTGCAGTGTCGGCACCGGTATACTAACGCTCTGTATTACCAGCCGAGCCCTGGAACCGACCACACGGCGCCTCAGCTACTCCTTTGTCACGCCTTTAGCGGGACGACATGGTGTTTGTTACAAGAGGGGGTAATGGGGGAGGGGAGGAGGCAGTGCGGGAGGGGGGGGGGGCGGTCGGCAGATAGCAGAGGTCTCCCACAGCCGAGGCTGATTTACTGCCATTTACAGCACCAGTCTGACTACAGACAAGACTCGGCACCGCAGCCTGCATGCTATTGTGCTTCTGTAACCTACACTGAGACAATCGCTGCTTGTTGACATACTCAGTGCTCACTTGAATAAGTTGTATCTGACTAAAGCCTGGATATTTACGTTTATCTATTGTAAGTGGCAGTATGATTCCTTCCGACTCTTTTTGGGACTACTTTTCAAACACCCACAACTATGTACTCAATGCCAGCCTATGGTCTAGCGGTGCCTGCCGCGGATTGCACTGAGCTCGGATCAGGAGTCACGGCTAACCAGCTACCCCTCCGGCAGGTTCTCCCCCTCGCTGATGACGCTGACGGCAGTGCTCATCGCCACCTTCATGGTCGTGGGTCTGTTCGGCAACGCCATCACGATCGTGGCTCTGCTGAGGTGCCCCAGGGTGCGGAACGTCACAGCCGCCTTCATCTGCAGGTGGGCGCCGTCAGCTGCCTCTGTCCACAGGTGACGTCCTCAGTGACGTCATCAGATCTCACTGACGTCATGAGTTTATGAGAGTGAGCGATGACACAGGGGGGATTAGTTCTTATCGTAACTTTTAGCACCTTTAATGGATATACCAGTGGTGTACAGTTTTATCTGCAATATACCGTCGTGATGACATGACCACTCACCAGCACCTTTCAGCGATATGACCTCTCAAAGCCACCTAGACGAGCACTATCACCGGGGCCCAGTTAGACGCCACGCAAGGCTGCCTGTCTGTGACTGCCCGGCTGGCTCTCAATAACACCGCCAACCTGAGTGGTGCAGCGTTCCGGACGCGGCCCTGCGTCTCTGATCGTCTCCGTGACATCGCTGCCCTCTGAGCGCGGTATCAAAGCGGCCGCACCGCTGCAGTTGAGCCGTGTGCTCCGCTCTGCGCGCTGTCTCTGTGCCGGTGACCTGTCAATGGGGGCGTGAAGGACGGCCCGTGACGCCAGCTTGGAGGCGGTCTATAAACAGAGACGGACGGTGCGCGTTCGGAGCGTGGGTGCGGTGCGGACGGAGGGCAGTGGAAACCGGCATTGGCCAGCGATCAGCTTCCAATGGTGACACGGCATTTCTTCGAGCCCGAACACAGGCACTGCCAAGTCTTAAAGGGATTATTTTTGGAGGATTTGGCCGAAATGTCACGTTGCTGAAACATGACTTGTGTACAAAAACGCCGAGTAGTGGAGGCTTCTAGATAGTTGATGTAATAAAAACTTGCTCTGAAGCTTACCTCTTCTTCGAAATGTGAAACCAGATTTAGCTAAGTGTTGCTCTCTTATACGTTCCGAATTATGATACAACATGAAAAAGAGACCTTTCGAGCGCGCTGGTGACTGGTAGATTTCTTGGAATCCTAACTTACGTAATTTTGCGTTGGAGTCTGGGCCAGTGCTTCATAGTAAAGCTGTGCATACGTTGTCTCTATTCAGCTAGTCATTCACTGCCTACTGACTTTGATTTCACTCCTATATTCGGCCTTCTAATCTCAATTTCTAACGAAAATTTCAAATATACATTTAAAATGTTCGGCCTGTTTTGCATACCGTCAAGAATTACATTTCAATTGATTTATTGCGCCTCTGAGTCGGGCCGGTCGTAACATCCAGGCTGCCTGGGGGCCTCATTCACACACACCGAGGCCCGGCCGGCATCACACTCCGGCGCGGCGCGGCCGCCTCACAAAGGGACCCCCTATTGACACGCTCTGTGATTGTGCCGTGTGCGTGCCGGCAGCCTGTGCGTGGCCGACTTCTCGTTCTGCCTGCTCGTGCTGCCATTCGAGGTGTCGCGCTTCGCTAACGGCCAGTGGCTGTTTGGCGACGGTTTCATCTGCGTGCTGTTCCCTCTACTGCGCTACTGGAACGTGGGCTGCTCGCTGCTATCAATCGCCATGGTGAGAGAGTGTTGGAGGAAGGTGTGGGTTGGACTGGGGAGAGGCTGGTTTAGCCTTTGCATGGTCTTCAAATAGTATAGCGGGGTATAGGGCAAAAACATTTTACGAGAAACACGACTAGGCTACAGTCTTACTACATAGACCGAGACATTAAAGGGACTTGGTATAAAATATCTCTGAAAAAGGATGCGCAGATGTGGGAAAAAGACCTTGATGTCGTTAACAGGATCAAACGACAGCAAGTAACTATTTTAAGAACAATTTCAGCGTGAAACACAAGAGCAGCGAAAAAGGATTATGCACACGTACATGTCGGGAATGAGATGAGTTGCGAGAGTTATTAATCACTCGACCACCCTGAATGTTAAGTTGAAAATGTTATGGCTCCATAATATTGAATTGTACCTATTGTATGTATGTGTATTCAATTCGAGTCTAACAAAAAGTTTCTTGTTTCAGATAACCATCAACAGGTAGGGGCACATTTTGTCTATCTGTATCGGTCTTGTGAGGTTCATGTAGCCGGTAGGACGTAACTATACCCAGATATTTCAATTCGTACGTTATGCTTCAGTTTTCATAGACTGATCCAGTTGCATTCAGAGACGCGATGATGGTAACGTAACTTTTATTATATCGGTAGATGTAAGGTTTTATATTAAGTGAAAATGGTGGATAAGTGTAACGTATATCACAGAAAAGCATATTATCTGGTGCTATATATAGGAAAATGGAGAATGGGTAAAAAAGCTTGCATCGCATGTTTCAATCAATTTTTACTTTGAAAATACATTCTTCTGCACGAATATCATCCACGCTTTCCACGAATTTTATAAGTTGTTCTGTGAATATTGCGTACCAGTACTATACTCTATATGGATACGCGACAACTAATCATGTGGGCGTAAATTCCAAGAGTCCGTTGAGCCACGCCGCTTTCACTCAAGGTTCGTGATGATCGCCTTCAACAACGTGTACAACAAGATCTACGAGCGGCGCTGGGTGGTGGTGCAGATCCTCTTCATCTGGGGCTACAGCTTCGGCATGCTGGTGCCGACCCTGGCCGGACAGTGGGGTGAGTGCTCGGCGCTCGCTGATAGGCAGGTGGTTCCTGAAGCAGAAACTGCCACCAGTGCAGTCGGTGATCGGCCTTTACTCAGCCAACGGAGGGCTTCAGGCCGGGGAGGCGTCAAGCACGAGTCCAATATCTGGATGCTTGCTAGTTACTTTTTTTTCGGTCGGGGGTGGGGATTGAGTTGGAAGATTAACATTACTTAACCCGCGCGGGGCTGGGGGGGTAAATTTTACCCCCCTCGCGAATTTTTGCGATATCTCAAAAACGGCGGCGCGCAGCGCCGCCAAACTTTCAGTACCTTTTCTTACATCAATTTGACACGTTCCCTGAAAATTTGAGCGAAATCCGTCGGAAAATTTTTGAGAAATTGACGTTTTAGTGACGTCATGTTCGTCATTTTCGCCTCAAAAACGGCAAAAGTTCAAACGCCGCTAACATCTTCATTGTTAAAGAAATCAAGACGTAACAAAAAAGGTTATACGTAATTTTACGTTGTCTATCAAATGGCTATCTCAGTTTTTTGAAAATTTTGGATTTTGGCCTAAATTTTTTTTTCAAAAAACTGACTTTTTTGGGAAAATCATTATAAAATCCAAAATTTTGAGTCTATCGTAAAAACCGGAATATATGTCAGAGAAGTGGTCTATGTGCACCTACATACCAAATTTTAGAAGAATCGGTTCAAAAATGTGGGAGTTATTCAAAATTTTATGACGTCACGACACACAAATTTTTTGAAAAATGACTTTTTTGGAAGTTCTAGACCTCGTACGGAAACAAAAATAGCACCATTCGATTCGCCGTGAAAAACTGCATCAGATAGACATCTTTTTAGGCCTTAACAACCAACTTCAAAATTTGACCTCACTTGACCTGATCTTGACCTGACCTCGACCTGAAATTCATCCAGAGGTGGTCCATATCACTTATTGAGTGTGCCTATTGAATTATATGAGTAAAATGACCCATAAAACATGTGTCGCACATGCCCTTTTCTATATTTTGTTTTTTGGTGACCTGACCTGACCTGACCTGACCTTGACCTTGACCTCTGAATGATATTGTATGCAACGAATATTGTCTTGGTAGCCTAAGAACACGTTTTGGGCGATCAGTCTCAGTCCATGACTCCATTCTTCGGCAACTACGGTGCAAGGCCGATACTGTAGAAACTTGCAATTTGTACCCTTGACATGACCTTGACCTTGACCTCAAACTTTAAATTAAGTACATGTTTTTAGTAGTTCGTGATGAGAGCTTTCGATTGGCGTTTGAATTTTCCAAATCGGACCGTTAGTTCGGGAGATAACAGGGGGGGGGGGTAAAATTTACCCCCCCCCCCAGCCCCGCGCGTTCGGCTGGAGACCCCAGCCCCGCGCGGGTTAGCAGCAATCCTTCGACACAGGTAGTTTGGGTTCAAAGGATGACAGTTTTAGCTACAAATGAAGGGGAACTCTACAAGAGTCTCTATTTCGTCAACAAATGCCATTCGTAGCTAATAACGCTTCTAAATTGGACACAGCTCAGCCCTATAAATACCCTGTTTGACTCAGTTGTTGTTGAAGGGCCGTCGACGTCAATTCAGCACCAAAGCTGCATCTGACTTTCACTGCTGGAAAGATAAGGGGCTTTCCTCCTACTCGACCCATTCACAATTAAATGTTTACGGGACTACATAAATGAGAGTGTGGGGAGTACTTGAATTCATACATCCAGGATATTGATACCCTGACGACGATCTCTGTCTAACTGAAGACCGTTGTTTGTCCGAAGACTGAATGCTGGCCTGTGACCAATGTTTGACTGATGTCTGAATGACGCCTTTCACCGTCAGGTCGGTTCGGCTACCACCCTCTTCTGATGACGTGCACGGTGGTCCGTGATGCCAACGGAAACTCGGCTAAAAAGGCGCTCTTTCTGATCGGTTTCCTGATCCCCTGCATTGCCATCGTCATCTGCTACGTGGGCATCTTCCTCGTCATCGTATTGTGAGTAGGCTCTCTCGTCAGTAGGTAACTATCTTGTGGATATCTTGCTATTATTGTTGCTCACCATAGTCATCACAATCATATCAATGTATCGTCTTGTGCGGCCGATTTAGTTCGGAGAAAAGAGCGCCATGGCCAGCTTCGGAATTAAGTTTATTTGTTGAAGGACAACTTAAAATAAATAACGAGCAAGTGTTTGTTATCTCAACAACCATACTGTCTAGCTCAAGTGTATGATCTACGGAAAAGCCATAAAAATAATTATTTGCTTAGCATATATACTGAACTAATAACGAGCTCCTGCAGTGGGTTTGCGTCATATTGTTTTTCGTTTTCCAGTATCGGCTTTCCTGAAGTTGCTATGTCAGAGGATTGCCTAACATGCTTACATAAAACACTTATTTAGTCCACACGGTCCACACTGAAGGACGCTATCAGCAACGCGTGATAGCAGTGCCAGGGTGAGGGACCTTCCTTTCCGCAAATCGCTCCGATTCCGATATGCGTCACCCGGCTAGCGAAATATCTTGGTCGTATCTATGATCGTGTATCTGTTCCCAGAGGAAAAAGAAGCTTTGACTGGCGACTGCCAGTGAGTAGTAAATCAGCGGCGCATCTAGCATTGCGTGTATCGCATATTTACAGCACTGAAATAGGATTGATGGGACCAATGCCCAGCGCGGAGCAGTCAAAGTGATGGAATGCAGGAAAGGAAGCAAAAACCGAGGCCTTGGAGTGGCCAGAGGTCTACGACCCAATTGAGTAGCTGACCTCGCTGTTTCAGTTTATTTTGCCAGTTGCCACATATATATGTTTAAACATATATCTGTGGCAAAATGTACTGAAATAGTGTGGAAATATGTAGGTCTGCATCACTTGATGCAGTCCTATTCGCGGAGCAACATCTTGCGCTGGCATTGACTGCTGATTAATTATACCCTTTCCACGCATACATGTGAAATACTGAAATACTGTTATACGTGCTCTGTTCTGACTAGATATCAGAACAGTGGTGACGTCATGCTATCGAAGTTGTATTGCAATGTGACGTGTTAATAACATGGACGGAACCGCTTACTCGATTATAACCTCGCAACAGTGAAAAACAAAGTTTCCCCCAAATTCGTCGACACTTCGTCCCATTGTACGGACATTGGGTGCCTGCTGCCACCAGTGACGTCATCATAGCATGCTATTTTTTAAGACACAATTTCCAGGTCACAATGTCCCACTTTCACAAGTGGGTCCAGGGCTTGAACGCCCCGAGATATGCCTATTTTTTTTTTATAGTTGCTGCGATGTTTAAAAATACCGCTACTGTTGTCCGTTTGCGATAAAATCCTGTGCCATTTCTTACCCATTTCCAGGTATTTACCGTGAAAAAATTGAAACCGAATATTTTTTCGGTCAGAAATTCTTGGCCAGACGCTGAAGCTGCCAAAACTCACGTGATAGCTTCGATAATGGACTTGGAGGCAGCGTCCTTTTGAAAAAAGAACTATAGTTAATTAGATTATACAATTACCTAACCGTTCGCGATATTTATTTTCCTGCAGTAAAAAATAAGAAATATTAACAGGTTTATTGCCTGAATATGTAACTCTAGCTGATTCCAGCAATCGTGTGCACTCCCTCCGACCACAAGCATGAAGAATGAGCAGCATTCGGATTAGCTCTCAGACTCCCGTCGAGCTTACATGAGTCAAAATGCAACTGTCTGCGACAATAGCTTGCCTATTTTCCAGTATGATCACTACGGATCAAAATAGTTACATTCCCCACTTCCAGAGCAATACCTTTTACTTTACGAGCCAAGCTAACCACATTCAGAGCTTTTGCGAAGACGATGATACAGTTCCTGGTAGAGGTGGCAAAATGTGGACCCGAGGACCCGGTCCAAAGAACCAGCCTGGACCTATATGGGTCCAGACCGGTTCCTGGAAATTTTCTGACGGGTTCAACCGGGTCCTACCATAAACTATACATCTTGCACACTACACATTATTGCAAAATATGAAGTGAATTTGGTGAATGTGTTTTTGCACACAGTAGCTCATGAGTATTCCCAATTGGAAATACGCTGTTTTACATGATGCAACTAATGATGACTACAAGTACTTTGTATTAATTGACTTTTGGGGAACGGGTCCAACTGGTTCCGATTCCAACTAAGACCGGGTCCGAATGGTTCCAGAAATGTCCAGCCGGGTCTGGTTCGAGTCTGGTTCCCAAAATTTTCATCTTTTGCCACCTCTAATTCCTGGTAAGGCGTCAGTTTGGGAGGAACCGGGTTCGATTCCCGGCGCCGCCCGTCCTATCGACTATCGTCCTAACCTGCCCACCAAGGGCCTCACATCACAACCGGTATCATAGGGAAGGCAACAAACAGTAGCCTCTCGTACACCGGAGACATTTTGCCAGTTAGAGGGAATGATGACGACAATAAAAACAAAATTAATCGACTTATCGATCGCCCCCCCCCCCCCGCCCAATCCAGGTCGGACCGCAGAATGCGTCGCCACAGCGTGAAGGCCGGTGTCAAGGAAACCACCCAGCAGAAGAAATCCAGGGAGGAGCGCCGGCGCAAAAACGAGATGCGCATCACCAGGATGTCGCTGGTGATCTTCCTGACGTTCCTGCTTTGCTACCTGCCCGTCACCGTATCCAAGATCAAAGATCCGTTCGTCAAGTACCCAGGTATGACATGCTCCGTAGTAAAATGTTTGTGTGAGCTTCAACTGTGCTGAAATCTTGACTAAAATGTTTGGCATTCAATGTGGATTTTATTATGTCATGTTCAAATATCCTGAATGAAATTAATGTTTCGGCTCTAGCCTTGTAATCTGCAAAAGTTCCATTAAATACATAAGTGATGAAACCGAATGCTAAATGTGTGCCATTCATCACACGCTAATTGTGGAGCAAATTCAACGATGAATAATTCATTAAAACTCATCAGACCATTTCCACGAAACATCCTAGCTGAACAAGTGCTGTCCGTTTCTTTCAAGTAAACTCGTGCCCGTTTCATTACAGGTCTGCACATCCTGGGCTACATATTGTGCTACTTCTCCGCCTGTGTCAACCCCATTATCTACGTCATCATGAGCAAGCAGTACCGACAGGCGTACAAGACGGTGCTGTTCTGCCGCCGCCCTCGCCTCTTCTCGGACAGTTCCATGCAGTGTGAGTTGACTGTCGCGGGCTCACAGACAGAAAGCAGAGGGGCGCCTTGGTGGGGATGGTTAGTTTGAGCTCTAAAGTCAAGTTCGAAGGAGATAGAAAGCAGTTGGCACCTTATGTGTCTTGTTGTAGTTCTGCAGATTCGTATTGCTGTTATGGTTTCAACGGGAAGCTAGTTACTTCGACAAAATCCAATAACACGCTGATGGATGTCAAGCATAACTTATTCAGTATACTAAAAGTTACGCGACAATAAAACAACTGATAAAATAATCCACTCAGATGTGTATGGAACAAGATGTATGTGCTTCTTTTTACGCTTACGTTACGTCTTTTCGCGATCCCGTGGTTCGAGCCGCATTGGCGCTCACTGCTGCTTTCCAACGACGACAGAACATGTTGTTCACAGAACAAATTCACGGAAGACTCATAAAGTTTTCTAAAAAAAAAATGTCAGATTTACTGCTAACACTGCTCAGTCGCCTTGGTTGTATGATAAAATGCTCGGTGTTTTAGGTATGCCGTGCAGAGTGTATGCCTCTGTCCCAGTTTCCAGGGCCGGAACATTTCGGTTGTCGGCCCGACTGGCTCGAATCTCCCTGGGAAAGCAGCTGTCGCCGCCGGAAAACGCCAGCAGGTGGCAGGAGTGTCGCCGTGTGTCTTGTGAACGTTTTTGGCTGTCAGCTGCTCAATAACCGGACTGCGCTTACATTCATTGGTTTCAAGACTTTCAGTGCATGCACATTGAACTTGAACGTAACTTATGACGGAGCCAATGGGCCTGCGTGGTATAACCGTGGGCGGGGAAATATCTGAGCCGCATCAAAATGAATGAAAATATCGGGCTGTTTGACTCGTACATTTGGAGTCCTTGCCTTATTTTAATGCTCAATTCCCAGATTCATAAGTACCTACATACATCATGTAAAACACCTGGAAGGTCAGGGTATTTGAGTTACCTCATAATACAGAATTGAAGGAACGAACTAAAAAAAAAACTCAACCGATCCAAGAAGGCAAAGAATAACTTAGCACTCTTGACTCCTGTCACCATTTGCTATATTGTTAACCCGGCAGTTGCTGGGGTATTTCGCCACCCACCGTTTGCTGGGGGGGGGGCGTTAAACGCCCCCAGCCGATAACTCGAGAACCAATAGGCGCAGCGAAACGCACGAGGCGGCAAACGAAAGAGCGCGACGAGACGCTTCAGATGAGTACTTTAAAGTTGAATTTTGAGGTCACAGGTCGGGTCAAGGTCAGGTCAAACACCTGAAATCGGGCTTTCAGTAGCATGGACTTCAGGACTTCGCAATGGGCGCCTCTCGTCATAAACTCTGTCAAAACGGTGCACAATCCATCATATAAAGCCTACAAGAGTGTCAGCTCCATGTAGGGGTCAGTCAATCATAGGTCAGGGTCAAGGTCAGGTCAACCGGGCAGGGACATATCCCCGAAAATAAAGACTGATATTCGCAGCCTGTGACACATGTTTTATGGGTAATTTGGGGCGTAGAACACGATGGTGACATTCATTTTATCATATGTGTACGTGTTTGGCTCAAAAAGTTCAATTTAAGAAATGCATGTATCATGGTCGTGAAGCGGTCACGAGAAATTGCCAAGATTCAGTTCAAGATTTTGGAAAATGCGGAACGATAATCAATAATCGAAGATAGCCATTTGATTGATCATGGTATTGGCAGTCTAATGGCGTTTACGGCATGTCTGTATGTCTATTCTGTGATTTTATATGATTTTTTGAACATACGCCGTTTTTGGTCGAAAACTCAGAAATCATGACGTCACTAAAACCTCGATATCTCAAAAAATTTATGACTGATCTTTTTTAAAACTTTGTCACAATAAACTTAAATCAATTCCCTACAGGTACCCAAAATTTGGCGCGCCTGCGGCGCGCCGTTTTTATGCTATGGCCCGGCGAAAAAAAGTGGGGGCGTTTAACGCCCCCCCCCAGCAACTCGCGGGTTAAATTGTAAAGAATATTTGGGAATTGGGTACCACTATGTCGATAAACGGCACGCGATGATTTGAATGGGTATGACAGTAAGCCCGCGTGGTTACTGTCAAACACTTGGGTGGTCCGTGGTAGTTTAATTAATTAAATTATTTTGATTCAATTAATTAACTTATTGAATCAATTAATTGAACGTGGTCGGAATCAGCTTTTGGTTGATCTTAGTTCGCTGATGCCGGTCTGAATATATGCCACTATCAATATAACACGTTTGGAATACTTCAGCACGGTCACGGTCACGTATCACGTGCTGCTATCTGCTCGCTCCCTATCCGCCGTCAAATCGACCACAGCCATCCGTTTTTTGTGACGAGTGACGTCGGGGACCACGTAAATTGATTGTTCCTTGTTAACGTTATTTTGTGACTGTCACTCATGAAATGCCTAAAGCCAGAAATAGTATACCGAAACCCTTAACGATTGGCTTAAGATTGCATTCCATTCGATATATGGTTAAAAGAAGTGGAAATCTTTTATAGTTACGCATGGCGCATAGGCAAACCATTGCTGTTACTTTAATCTGTGCGAACTAATAGCTGTCGGTGTCGAGCATCCATGCTGCTTCCCTTTTGTTTGACGGGCATAAATAGGCCAGAGTTCGTTGGAAAGTACTGACCCAACATGTTGTCTTGCTTGTTAACGCGGCTAATCCTATATGAAAGCTGCACTAGTGACGCCAAAAGATGGACAAACATCCATAGAGATCTTATATGTATATAAGATCTCTATGCAAACATCCACCAACATCCACCGGCCGTTCTCGTTTTAAGTTTTTCGCCAGCATTTTTGAGGAATGGTTGTTAATTTCAATTACTGTCTGTCTTTCTTTTTGTGTTGGTACCAGCATAGTTTCGAGCATAATTGCTTTCGTGCTTCGCTTCATCGGAAAATATCCATCTAACGGAATCGAAATGGCGCTAGCGCGCTGGTCTTTTTTTCGTTTAGGCTTATTAGATAATGGCACACACTGCAAACGTTTTATTATTTTCTTTTGTGCGCATATGTGAAATAATAAATAAGTTCATTGTTTGCTAGCTTCCACTCATATCAAAGTTCTCGTCCAAACTTTTAGCTGACTTTTGCAAGGAATTCTTTTACGGTAAACAACATTCTCATCTGCATTTTAACCCGCGCCCCAGTGGCGGTCTCCGCCAACTTCGCCCTAGTGGGGGGGGGGGGGGGGCACATGTTACCACCCACCTCTAACTCAAAAAACTAAGAGGGCTAGAAAGACGCGGTAAAAAGCAGTCGATAGCTCTTGATGCGTACGTTTGAAAGTATTTCCGTCATTTTTCATCTTAGAGCAATATTGGGGTCACCAGAGGTCATCAAAGGTCAAAATTTGCGAATTGTCATTATATTTTTCAAAAAACATGCCATTATCTCAGGAACTATGGTAGCTAGAAAAACGCTGGGAAAAGCAATCGATAGCTTTTGAACTCTTTTTTTGATAAGGTCATCATAAAAAATGACCTCAGGTCAACGGTTTAGCCTCCAGAGGGCAAAAACTCCAAAAATAGCTGTTTTCATGAAAAGTGTTTTTCGACAATAACTTTTGACTAAAAAAAGCTAGGTCATTTCTAATGCCAGAATCGTGTTCCTCTTGCCGAGACGCGTCGAATGAACTATAATTTGACCTTGAAAGGTCAACTTCAAAATTTGACCTCAAGTCAAGGTCATGACCTGACCGGAAAAGGTCATGTTGCATATCAGTCGATGCGTCTCGGCAAGACAAACACAATGAGGCCAACCCCAGCGTTCTATCTCTTTCCAATCGAGAGTTATTGGCAAAAAACTGTTTGTAGCCTCAAATGACCTCGGATGACCTTTCAAGAGGCTCTCAGCAAAAACGACACCTTGGTCGTCACGGGTGGTCCAAATCATTGTTATCCTGAAATAGTTGGACTGTTCCTATGCGTACACACGGATCTAGAGGCATTTTCGTTTTTCTCCATTGACTTATAATGGAAAGGTCACGCTACTGACCTTAGGTCACGCATATAAAAAATCCGAGATATACAAATTGTAGGCACTCATAACATCATGTAATCCACCAAGTTTGAAACCTCTCTGACAAACACTGCAGGCTGGACATGATTGCAAACTTTTTTTTAGGCTTGGTCAGTTAACTTGATCTAGTGACCTGACCTGACATGACCTGGGGTCAAAAATTTCACACGTTGTCCAAAATTGATGTACCAAAAGCTACCCGAAGCGGCGCGGCGCTACGCGCCGCGGTTTTTTATTTATACGAAAAAAACGCGACAGGGTGGTAACATATGCCCCCCCCCCCACTGGGGCGAAGGTTAAATCAACGAAGAAAAGAACAATATTGTGTCAAAAGAGCTTTTTAGCCTATGGCGTTTTTTTGTTGCGTCGATAAAACTGATTAGATATTCAGGTCAGACAATGCAGGCTCAAAACAGTCATGACTCAGCCCATAACTTATTTATGCAATTTTTCTGCATATTGATGCGTGCTATGTAGTAGCGGGGCGCATTGGATTCGGAAGTAGCCACATCAAAGCGCACTATGAAGCAGAGTGCTTTCAGCAAGTATCGGGACTTTGTGAACTGGTCATCGTGTATGATGCATACATTTCACTTTTTTATAAGACAGGACAGTAACAGGGGCGTAGCCAGGGTTTCCTCCAGGAGGGGGCCAAACTTACAGGGGCCCAAGGTAAACCCCTCAAAATCCAAAAAGTCATCGGATTTCGTCCACAATTTTTTTGGAGGGGGCCCAAATAAATTAAAAAAAGTATCAAAAATGAAAAAAAATGTTAGAAATGAGGGGCAAGCAGTTGATGGGTCCCTGCTAGATAAGCCCACGAATAGCTTGATAGAGTCGCTCAGCCGGTTCTGAAGGCGGTCTTGAGGGCCCCGTAGGTCGGATGAGGGTCCTTCAGACCGCCAAAGGCCCCTACAGCCCATGAGAGCCTCGTAAGCCCTGATAACTTGACGAGGGCACTCTAAGAAACAAAAAACCCTCTGAATACACGACAGGGACCCCTGAGCGCATGGAGGGCCCCCTGATCGCTTCACGGGGCCCTCTAAGCCACAGAAAGGCTCTCTGAGTACACGACAGGGCCCTCTAAGTGCATGAAGAGGCCTCTGAGCGCGCGTGACGGGTCCTCTGATCTACAGGAAAACTCTCTGAGCATGTAAAGGACCCCAAGGGGCCCCTGAACGCCTGACAGGGCCAGGCGCGTAGCTAGGATTTTCCTCAGGGGGGCCAATCAGACCGAAAGGGGCCCATGTGAGCGAAGGGGCCCAACTTTTTTTTAATTTCATGACGTAGTTATTTGTTTAACTACCTTAAAATTACGAAGGGCCCCTGCGAACCCAATGGAGAGGGCGCCGAGGGGCCCAGTGGCCAGTGGCAAAGCCTCAGGCCCGAAGGGCCCTTTTATAACCAATGAAGAGAGCCCAGAGGGCCCTAGCGGCAAGGTCTCAGGCCCGAAAGGCCCCCGCGAACCCAGTGGAGTGCCCCGAGGGGCCCTTAAGCTACTTTTATTGTGCCCCTTACCGTACTTATGACACCACGATGGGGGCCCTTTTGGGCTCCAGGGGGGGAAGGCATGGCCCCTATGGCCCCCCTTGGCTACGCCCCTGGGACAGTTACAGCCGAAATGCTAGACACCGTCCCATCGAGTACATCGAAACAGACTCCATGCCTCGTAGGCTCTTTGGTCGATTCAATATTTACGCAGTCGTTAATGTAACGCTGCATTCCAGCATTCTTAACAATTATCCAACACACACATGGTAAAATGACTCGCCAGTTAAACTGCTATCCCTGTATCGTTAACAGTACTCTGACAGTGTTCACCTCTGTGTCGATTGCAGCGAAGGAAAGCAAGTCGCGCGACGGGGTGATGGGCTCGCGTACCTACATGTCCCAGGTCTCCAACGACAGCGTGTCCGGCGGCACAGCCATGGAGGAGCTGCCGGACGTGTTTCCCGACCCCAAAGACAACCGGAAGTGAGCGACATCCGGCCGGAAGTGGGCTACTTCCGGTCGAGTTCCGGGTGTGTCGATGGCGTCACCTCCGAGCTGGACCACAGCTGGAGGACAGAGGAGTTGGAGCTTAGTGAGAGGACAGACAATGCGAGCACCAGGTGGCACAGAACGCCAGCAAACGCTGACACACAACGGGGTGACGTCACTACTGGTCACTATCACGTCACTGATCGCGAGTGTCATCGGAGCGATCAAGGGGTTACTTAAAAATGCGTGATTGTTGGACTGGAACGCCCATTGCTGACTGGCAAAGTGATTGCGTTTGCGAGGGTGAATGTTAATCGCTGAGTTGAGTGTGTACGAGAAACTATTTTTGCGTTTCTCATTGAATAAGAACTAAAAGCAGGGCGAGCATGCACTGCTTATTGTCGATAGGCAAACACGCTATGGCGGCATTTATGCGGGCATTGAAAAATGTTTCACATTTCCGCTCAGTATGCACAAGTTTTGATGCTGAGTAGTGAGTTTGGTTTATACGTTGCGTCATTTTCCGCCCATCGCTTGCTTTTAAAGTTGATGTGTATTGTGTGTTGATAATGAACAACAAATTGCAGAAGGAATGGCGAACCCGTCGACAACAAAATGCTGATACCGCTATGTGATATCTGTGCTTGGTGTAATTAGGATATATCGAGTGAGATTCGTTTAGAGGGATGCGTGTTATGACAATCAGTGTTTAGTATTGTTAGACATATTGATAAAATCTGATGGCCAATAGTTGCAAACCAAAATGGTAATTAAAATTTAAATCTTCTTGTATTTTATGTAAGATTTGTATTTTATATGAAATACAAAAATATTTATATTTTAATTATCATTTTGGTTTGCAACTATTGACCATCAGATTTTATAAACAATCAGCGTTGTCTGATGAGTGTGCAGGCCCAGACGAGGACATCATACAAGAGGTGCCTACTAGAGCACTTCACGGATAGGCTTTTTAGGATCCGGCCCGGCCCATATCCGGCAAGTCATATCCAGATCCGCCCATTATCCGCCTTTCTTTGAATATCAGAATCCGGCCCACCGATTGGCCCGTATTGCAGCCAAACTTCAAAAAAATATCCGTAATAATCCGTTTCACCAATAACTGGTTTCACCCAAAACTGGACTAACAAATTCAATCTAAGGGACCAGACAGCCATACATCTCATAGACCATCATGGTTCCAAAAACCATGCATACATTGCATACATTATTCACTTGAAGACAAGTCTTGTGACAAGTGAGTGTCATAAAATGATGCCTATTACTTTAATCAAACCTCTGCTGCCCCTTAACACATTAGATTAATTTTTAACTTCAATGTTGAATGTTAAAATTTTGATCCGTTTTGATCCGGGTTCAACCTTCAATTCCCAAATCCGGCCCGCCCATATCCGTTCTTTTTTAACCCTCGCCCGTAAACGGCGATCTGCCACCTTCGCCCATGCAGGGGGGGTTGGTGCGACCCCCCCCTTGGCGTTTGAAAACGGAGCGTCGTAGAGCTTAGCGGAAAAAACCAACGGATTGCTGTCAACGAGATCTCGCGATTGGTGGTATATTTTTTGGTCCTAGGTCAACATTTGACCTACTTTTGACCGGTCAAAGGTCAAATTTTCGGAAAAATAGACTTTTTCAAATTTTCCGCGGCGATTGCGGCAAAACGGTGGGCGATATCGACTTGAAACCTTCACTATCGTGTTCCTTGATCAATTCTCTATCGTTTGGTATGTATTTCGTTTCCCTAGCTCTAAAAATGGCGCGTTGGGAGCGCCGGAAGTCGGCAAGGTCACAGTCGGCGGCAGAAATTCGAAAAATCAAAATTTAAATTTTTGAAATCTGATTGTATTTTTGGATTTGGGATGTCCATTTGCTCCCTATAGAAGCTAATATTGCTGCATATTCCCATTGAGGTGACAAGAATTAGCAAAATAGTGGTTCGGGCGCTTTTCAAAAATAGTACCGGACGCTGTTCCTCTTGTGACGTCATAGCTCCGTGACCTGACCTGACCCGGTCAAGTTTCTTATACCATATGATAGCCAATACTTGCCCCAACATGCATGGGAAGTTTCATCACGATCCATCAACCGATGTCCGTACCACCGGCAGGAAACCTCGGGCGTTGGCACTCAGTTTGTGAAAATCCGGCCGGAGGCTGTTCCCTTTGTGACGTCATAACTCCATGACCTGACATGACCCGGTCAAATTTTTTTTTATCAAAAGATGCGCAAGGCTTGCCCCATAAGGTACCCAAAATTTGGCGGCGCTGCGCGCCGCCGTTTTTGCACTATTTCCGAAAAACCTCAGGGGGGGGGTTGCACCAACCCCCCCCCCCTACATGGGCGAGGGTTAACAAATTTAGAATCCAATCCTATCCGGTCCGCGGATTTATCCGTGGATAACGGATTTATCCGGCCCATGAAGTGCTCTAGTGCCTACAGTGCCGTTAGTGCTTAGTGCTGTCTTTACCATGCTCTTTAATCGTTTTTTAATCGTTTATTTTTACTTTGCTTTGTCGACTATGAAATGAAGATTTACCATGATATACCTACTATGCTTTCCTATGAGGCTCAGTCATTCTTCGTGCACAATGAACAGAAGAAGACTTCGAAGTTATCCCGCGCCCTGCTGGGGGTGTTTGAACACCCCCCTTGTGGTTTTTCGTGAATATCTCAAAAACGGCGGCGCGGAGCGCCGCCGTTTTTGGTACAACTTATCATGCATCAATTCTACACATGTTGTGAAAATTTCACAAGGTCAGGTCACCAGGTCACTTGAAGTGACCTCACCTCATAAAAAGTTTCAATGTCTGTCATAGCTACACCGAGTGACCGATCGCTTTGAAACTTTCAGCGATTGCTAAGAGTAATAGCATGTACAAAATGTATATCCCAGAATTTTGATATCGATGACCTAAGGTCAGGTCAATTTTGCGACCTCCCCATTATAAGTCAATGGGAGAAAATTGAAATGCGCCTCTTTTGGAGGAAAGACATTATAAACACTCCCAAACACTGAATTACAAGTGGTTTAGACACACTGAACATGAAAATTGTGTCCGTGACCCCTGTTTATGCCCTGAGGTCATCTTAGGTCACGAATGGTATCTAACAGTTTTTCGCAAATAACTTTTGATAGAGGCATGCTAGAGCGATGAAAACGCCTTAGATGTGTTCAGCTCGACGATACGGATCGACTGATATGCAACATGACCCTTTCCGGTCAGGTCATGACCTTGACCTGAGGTCAAATTTTCAACTTGACCTATCAAGGTCAAGTTATAGTTCATTCGATGCGTCTTGACGAGAGGAACACGATGCCGATAAAAGTAAGTTCGTACAAGGCTTGGGGCAAAAGTTATTGCAGAAAAACTGTTTCCGAAAAAATCGGTTATTTTTGCAGTTTTGCCCCCTGCAGGCAAAACCGTTGACGTTAGGTCAAATCTTAGGAAATTACTCAGAAAGGGCGTTAATAGGGCTATCGAATGCGCTTTTCCGCGGCGCTGTAGCTCTATTGGTTCCCGAGTTATGCGTTGGCTTCTTGGAAATTTTCGACATTCGACCCGGAAATCGGCGAAATTTTGCCTTCAATGACCTCTGGTGACCTGACATTTGACCTGACCAAAAAATTGACCGAAGTAAATTCCTCTTTATTTTTGACGCTCTTTCGAACGCCGCCTTCCGCGTATCGCTACGTGGCCCAGGAGCCGAGCTAGAAGGGGGGGATGTTCAAACACCCCCCCCCCCCCCAGCAGGGCGTGGAAATCCAGGACCCCCAGCCGGGCGCGGGTTATGTAGATAAAAACAACAATAATGCATTGATGTATGAACGGAGTAAGCTAAGTGTGTTGGCGTTGATGATATGGACGTAAGGAGCCTTGCTGGGTTTCACGACTCTTCTTCTCCCATGCTTGCAGACATTATACGAGCTTATAGGCATGTTTTTGGTCTCGCTGGCTTAGAACTTCAAAATATGTATGAAAAAACATATGCCTGGCAGTAGGCAACGTACATACCTATAGAGCCTGTGTTTACTGTTGGTATGCCCAACTGCGGACAAATAAAATGTGCAGGCTGTGGACGGACTCGTACGCAGCGTCACCTACAGCTGAGGTCGAGGAAGGATGCTCGTCGCGACATCTGCGTGAGAAGAACATCGAGACAAGATTTGCTTGCTGTAGAAGCGTACCGTAGTTTCGTGCAACTTTGGCCACCAAGGGCAAATTTGGCCCAAGCCTGGAAAAAGAATTTGTTTTGCTGTAGCTTTTGCACTTACCTAGTGCAGAAAAGTTGTTGTTGTTGTAAATATTGTTGTTCAGCTGGAATATAGTTAATGTATAAAACGTTGTTTTGACACCATGTATACATATACATGGTATTTGTATGTATATGTATACATATACATATAAAAGTTGCTGTTATAGTTCAGATAAAATTGTTCATCGGTTACCTTCGGGAACAATCCTGAGTTGGTCCTAATGCCAAATTGAAGGGATAGGAGGAGTTAAAGGGACCCTCCCACCTTAACATTAGCTTTGAGTTGAGATAGCCAAGTTTGCGGCCAGGCTCAGAAACCACCATTTATCCTGGTCGCAACCCCCGCAGCTTTATGGTGTTCAAGAAATTTCTTCCTTTTACTTGCAGGGTGGGACCAGCGTGGTCCCTATCTCTTAACCATTACGGGAATCTGATGACGTCATCAGGCTTTCGAACGTCCGTTAACCCGGCGGCCGCTGGGCCTCCGCGCCACCCGCCGGCCGCTGGGGGGGGGGGGCATAAAGTTGCCCCCCGTTACTTCTGCGACGATATCGTCGCAACGCGAAGAGATAGAGAAGCGAAACTTTGCACACATCTTCCTGAATACCTAGCCGAGATTGTGTCCAAATTTGGTGTCGATCCCATTTGAAATGACGTCACAGTGACGTCATAAGTGAAATTATAAATTTGCGACTCTCATATTCCTCACGATACATCACATATGTGGGACCGAATATAAAGGGCCGATTATTGGTCAGAAACTAGATAAAAGTGTAGTAAGATGTTTTAGGATGACAGCAGGTGCTGTCTAGTTCATTTACAGTCGAGCTTCATGCTCAGCGTCATCAGAAACGGTCCATATCGGAAAACTACAAAACTTTATGACGTCACCGTGACGTCATCTTAGGTGCTACAACTACCAAACTTTCCTCAAACATTGCCTAGGTATTCATTTGAAGCTATGCCAAGTTTCACGTTCGTAGCTCATCAGGTTTCGGAGATATTTCACAAAACGTAAAGGGGGGGCAACTTTATGCCCCCCCCCAGCGGCTCGTGGGTTAAATGTTTGACTAAAACGTTTTGTAGCACGCGGTGGTATATGCTGCTTTGCGCGCAACAAATGCCGCACTTTCAAATAAAGTCGCTTAGGAACAGCGGAGATCCCAAAAAGTAAACAAAAGTAAAAGTCTAATATCTTGAAAACCGGTGAATATTTTTCGATGAAATTTGGTAGATATTTGTTTTTGCTCTTTCTGAACCGAGCGACATCACTTTCATGCCAATTCATTAACTTTTTTGAAGGTGGGAGGGTCCCTTTAAAACAACCCATGAAAAGTTAAGGGAGAACTCAGGGTTGGCTAGGATCCCGTGAGGACGGTTAACGGCTGCGCCAGTGGTGAACTTGTGGTTTCCAGCTTGTAGTGGTTAACCCTCGCCCACACATGCCATTTTCCCATCCTATAGAACGCCCAAGGGAAGGGGGGGGGGTCCCACCTCCGCGCCATTTCGTTCCTGCTGGAGCTAGAGCTTCGCGGCAAAGACCAACAGATTCTTTGGGAAGAGACGAAACCAATGGTACCCAATTTTACCTCATTAGGTCAATCATTGACCTTCCAGGTCAGGTCAAACTAAAAAATGTTGCTGTTTGGGGCCACCGTGATCGTATGTATGTAAGTACGTGGGTGCCCATCATATACCGATGGCGCTGCCGTTTGTGGTGCTACCAAAAATACAGTAAAAAACTTCACGAAAAGCAAATTCAGCGAGCCTAAAATGCAATGTTTTAGATGACCTAAGTTGACCTAAGATGACCTAAGTTGACCTTTACCCTGACCCTGACATCTGCACATCGTCGAATAGCATGTTCCATGATAGGTTGAGGTAAGACTAGCAAAAACATATTGAAATCAAGGTGTCAATAGCTCACAAGACCCATAGCCAACGCAATATTGAGTATTGGCCATTTGGGTCATGACATGATCTGAAAAACAAGGTAATATCTCCGGAACCAAAAACCACAGAAACTTGAAATTTTCATTGGACGCTGACAAAGGAAAGAAAAGCAGCTATACGAAAAATCAAGCTTCTAGCTTTAAGAATGTTTAGTGCAGAGCACAAAAGCTACCTGGAGGTGGTACCCCCTCCCTCCCCCGCCCATGTACGGGCGAGGGTTAAGTGGTTAACCCTCGCCCGTAAACGGTGTTTTGCCACCTTCACCCATGCAGGGAGGGGGGGGTGGTGCGGCCCCCCTTGGCGTTTGAAAACGGAGCGTCGTAGAGCTTAGCGGAAAAGACCAACGGATTGCTCTCAACGAGATCTCGCGATTGGTGGTATATTTTTTGGTCCTAGGTTAACATTTGACCTACTTATGACCGGTCAAAGGTCAAATGTTCGGGAAAAAATCTAACTTTTTCAGATTTCCGCGACGATTGCGGTAAAACGGTAAGAGATATCGACTTGAAACCTTCACTATCGTGATCCTTGATCAATTCTCTATCGTTTGGTGTGTATTTCGATATCATAACTTTAAAAATGATGCATTGGGAGCATCGGAAGTCTGCAAGGTCATTTGTGCATTGGGTCACGTCAGGCGTGTGACGTCACTGACCTGACCCTGACCCAAAATGAACTATCAGAAACAACCGACGATGCCTGAAATGGATAGAAATTTCGAATTCAGGGCATCAAAATACCCCGAAAAGGCATACAAGTGCAATAAGTCATTACAGGTCAACCGAGGTCACTGACCTTACCTTGACCTTTAGTAACCTTCAAAATGTCAACGGATATTGTGCCAATGTCAAATCAGCCAGTTGTGATTCTAAAACAATCCATCAGTGTGTCAGGTCAGTCGGCATTTATACCAATGTGAAGCAATCTCCAATTTAGCGTAAATCTGGCCGGAGGTTGTTCCCTTTATGACGTCATAACTCCGTGACCTGACATGACCTTGACAAAAAAATACCAAAAGTTGCGCAAAGGATGCCCCAGAGGATACTGAAAATTTGAGCAGGCTATCTGAAACGGTTCGGCGTGTAGCTAAGAAAAACCTCAGGGGGGGTTGCACCAACCCCCCCCCCCCTACATGGGCGAGGGTTAAGGTAAGTTCAGAATACACAAACATTCAGAATGGAAACTCCTTTCTTTAAAATAAATAATAAAATAGGTGGACATCGTATGCCGTTTTAGCAACCAAAGGAAGCCGCTGCCTGGAGCATTATTTATCAGAGTAGCGCCTTCCTTTGGTTGCAAAAACGAAATACGTCCCGTCTCAAGGTCTATGCCTGTCTGGTCCCGATTTGAGAAGCAGTACTGACATAGGTACTGTCAGCAGTCAGCACTGAGTACCGAGTGG